AGTAAAATAAAGTAAAGTTATTAGTATTGCATTACCTTTCCCGAACTGCCTCAGAGAAGGATATAGTTTCTTGACAACGTCTAACAGAAACTATACTTCCCTCTTGGACACCGCATATACCTGTAAGGGATTCCCTGTGCTGTGTTGTCGTTATAGTGTGAAAATTAAGAAGGCTTTCACCTATAATAGTATATATTTTTTAGATTTTTTTATATAATATTGCATATTTTTAAAGTTAGTCTTGGTATAATCAAAATTATAGAGTTACTATTTCAAATACTTTATTTAAGTTACTAACATCCAGTTTTCTATTTAGTTTATACTTTCTGAATTTATTTTATAATATTATATACTTTTAAAGTTAGTCTTGATACAATTAGAATTACAGAATTATAATTTCAGATACCTTATTCAAATTGCCAAATTAGGAGCATTTTTCAAAATTTTACCACTAATAAAATTTAAATACTGAACCTATTGCTTAAAGAATAACAACCTAATCACTATACTAGAATTATTATTCTTACAACAAATTTTTTATTAAAACTCTAAAGATGATTTTATATATATATAATTTTTAAGTATTATAAGTAAATTAGTGTATAAATAATAATTATCTTAATAAAAAATTATTAAATTTTTATAAAAATTTAAAAATAAATAAAATTGTTTTATTAAAGTTATTAATAAAAAAATTAGGTATTTTATATATAAAAATTTTTAAGTATTATAAACATACTAGTGTATAAATAGTAATTATTTTAATAAAAAATTATTAAATTTTTATAAAAATTTAAAAATAAAAAAATTGTCTTATTAAAAATTATTATAAAAAAATTGATTATTTTATTTAAACAATAATATTTTCTAATTTAGTAACTATAATTAGATTATTTTATTCCTATTTGATTCATTTTAATAAAATAAATTAAATAATCTATTTCTGATTTCTGTAATTGGTTATACATTATAATACTTCCTTTTATCTTATATAGAAATAAAAGAATAAATCTTTCTATTAGTACTTATTTTATTAATTTTCTTATCTTTTATTAATTTTATTAATTTTCATCTTTTAGTAGTTTCGACAGTTTCGACAGTTTCGCCATTTCGCCATTTTCAATTTTTTTTTTTTGGCAAAAATCGAAGCGAGTTTCGACTTTCGCCTTTTGTGAAGCCTCTAAGTTTCGCCTAACAACACTAACATGGACATATAACAATTTATATGTCCAAATTCACCCAATTGCTAACACTGTTAAAATGTAATAATCACTTGATGGAAAGCAAATAAAATAAAATTATATTGTTCGTAGATTAAAAGTACTTGAATTTAATATTTATTAATTATTCGAGTAGAGATGTTAATCGACTCAACTTGTATAAAAAAAAGCATGAGTAAGCGACTCAAGTCTATGTATATATTTGCACTCTTTAAAAACATAAAAAGTTTATTATTTTTAAGTATATAAAATAAGAAATTCAAGTTCTGAATATTCGCGTTAATTTACAATGTACAAAAAAAAAAAACCAGCAGTCAAGCAATTCAAGTTCATAAATATTATTTACTATATGATTAATTTCATTCGATTTGTATTCATATATAAAAAGCATTTATTATTCTGAGTATCTAAATAAAGGTTCAAGGTTATGAATATTTTATTATTCAATTTCTTCAATTCCTTTTATTAATTTCTTCTATGCACAACAAGGTAAATAACACGTGATCCGCATGATGACAAATAGATTCGTGCTAAGAATTATCTGCTAAATTTAGGGAATTGTATTAAAAACTTCAATAATTATGGGCTTGTGTCTCTTTTGGTTATGTCGTTCGGTTGTCATTAGCGGTCGTGAGGATTGTGAAGGCCCTCGATAGGGTGCGCCTATTCTCCCCATGAGATTGTGAAGACTCTCAACAAATCCATCTTGTTTATTTTTTATTGCTTGTTTTTTTAGTTATTTATTTTGCTGACCAATTAGATTACAAGATCAGATATAAGTAACGTGACAATCATGTGTTCTTTAACTCAAAATTTCGCCTATGTAATCCCTTCTGCGCATTAACAAAAAAATTCCTTACAAAATTTTGGCATAAGGTAAGTCTCGTTACAATCAGTAACTTAATCCTAATAATGTATAATGTTTATTGTCTTAAAAAATTTCCCGTATTCATTAATAAATTTGCCTTCTAATTCCTTCCAATAAAGTTCTAGCAATCGAACATTCGCACACAATTTGGTGTAAACTTCGATAGATTACAAGAAATTCTGTAACAATATCAATAGGGTACAAATATGAAATCCTCTTTTTAAAAAAAACTACCAGAAGAAAGTTTAAGTTATTGATATTTTTTCATATAACATCTTCATATTTGAATTATACTTCTATTCATACATATCTATTGATAGCATTGATTTGAATTACAGATTGAAGTTGTCGGTAAATTGTCTTCTAATATGTAAAATTGGTTTTTTCTTCCTTTGTGAAATTCAATAGCAAATTCCCACCCCTTTTTGAAGTTTATACATTCTTCTGAACATCAAATGACTAAAAGTTACATAAATTACAGGTGAGTGTGAAAAAAAAACTTGAAAAACAAAAATTTATATTGATATAATTCTTTAATTATCGATGTATCTAATTTACAACCATCAATTTAATGACTATATATAGTTATTATTTAATTTAAATTGAATGTAAACCCAAAATAATTACTATATAATTCAAATTTGATTCAAACAAGACAAAAGATTTTATTTATTAAATTGAATTGTTTTTTTTTTTTTTTATTAAAGATTGTTTTTCATTGAATTAAGATGTTTTGCGATTGAGAATTTTCCGGTCTTTGGTTGGTTCAAAACCAAAAGATGCATATTAATTACATGCAATACATACGTACGAATGAATTAATCAACTGACGATAAAAAGGGAGGGATTGTCAATTTTTTTTTTAGCATTAATTGAAAAAAGTGAAGCAGCAAAATTTTCAATAAATAAATGAACTTGTGGCATACTTGATATCATGGCATCATACTTGATATCATACTTGATATGCATGTATTTATTCATAAATTCATGGTAACTAAGATCCACTCGTTTGAATGTGAAAATATTGGTGTACCTCAATTAGAAACAGAATAATTTTAAATAAATTTATATTGATATATAAAGTGCTGATTAAGCTTGGGCGGAAAGTATGAGTAACGATAATTGGTAGCTTACATAAGTATTCGTGTTGTTAAGATTTGCACATAAATGCACCTAATTTCATCTAATATTAAATTCTGTTTTGGTATCATATTGAGCGTTGCACATTCGTTGGATGATGAGATACTAAATTAGATTCATTCAATAATATTTATAAGGTGATGGAATAATTTTTAGTCAAATATAGGTACTGTATATATTTAATATATTACATACTTTTTAATCATTTTTAATAGGTCACAAGTAATGAAAAAAATGTTCTAACAAACAATGTCATGAAAAACATAATGAAACGATGTGACGCAATTCGTGAATGAATTTTTACGCGTTATCCTTATATGTATTTTTTTTTAAAAAAATTTCTTTACTTGTCTTTATTAATGAAGATTCTTATAATTTGACATAATTACGACATTTTAAAAGAAAAAAATTGATATTTCGTGTAAAAAAAAGAAAAAAAAAGAGAACACGAATCTGATTCGAAAAAATTCAAGAAACAATTTTTGAAATAAAAATACAAAGGAAACCAACGAAAAGAAAAAAAGAATAAAATAAAGGAGCATAGCATATAAACGTTTTTTTTTTTTGACAGAAGATGAACATAAGAGTAGTGTCCGAGTAACTCTGGAGAAACCTTCTAATTTTGAGGTTTCGAAATTTTTGACATTGTTTGATGGTATAACGAATTATGAAATTATAGTGTAAGTACCGAATGGACAATCGAAAACAATATAAAATTGATGGCCGAAAGTGGATTAGGGGGAAAGCAAAGGGACGAAAACATTTATGGATTGATTTATTTCCCAAATACTTAACGTCTTCCACTTGCCCGAAAAAAAAGATAATTTAACGTATTGCGCTGGCTTCATAAAACTTTCCACCATCAAATGTAACGACCACCATCGCAACCATTACCGCATAATAAAGTGGGCGCCAAAGAAGTGTTAAAGATGATGATCATGATGGTGGCCGTCATTTTACTTTGTTGAACTCCAGGGGATCCACATTCGTTCGTTCACTCTCTCAGACATTCACTTCAGCCGCATAGACAGCGAAGCTTAAAAATCTTCTTGCTGAATCATCTGTGCAATCCTCTTCTTTAGAAAGTTTCAAAAAGATGGCGCAAAGAATATCAGCAATGTAGAAGTGTGGAATTTAAACCTATTCATAAATAAGATAAAGATCTCATAAATACGATAGAGACGAAAAAAAATTTGCAAACATACCACGTGATCATACAGCATAAGTAAAACCTTTCCTTCTTATATAGGCTATGGTAACGATAATTATTGATTTCATCATGACATGAACGAGTCAGTTCGATTAAGCGTGTATGTTAGATGTTATTTGTGTCTTTTACGGGGGAAATCGATTTTGAACGACGAAGTGGTAAACAAAAAATGGTATCGAAATAATAACGAATAGAAAAAAGCGTATCGTTTTAATCGTGAAACGATTGATCGATTGATTACAAAAAATTTTTCCTTTCCTTATAACGCGTTATCTTGTATTTTCGAAACATCTTTAATAATTGTCGAAATTCAAGGAAATGCGAATTTAAAAGTTAGAATAAAAGGAAATGGGAAATATAAAGGTGGGTAAAAGATAATAGGAAAATTTTGTCATATATCATTATAAATATGACAGATAATGTGTGCGAGAATGAAAGGAATGTAATCTCTTTTCAAGAGGCATTAAAGCCCTCTTAAAAAGAGATATAAAAAAAATCTTATTCGGAAGGTGGGCAAAAGTAATAAACGTTGAATTTTTGATTCTTCGCGAGAATCATAAGGTATGCCTTTCCTTTATACCCATCCGTTGAATGAATTTTTTTTTTTTTTTTTTTGTCGATGCATTTGACATTATTTTAAATTAGAGTAATTTAAATAGTTTAAATAGTTAAATACAATATATGGTTTTTTATAACAAGGCGCCTTTCATGATCTATTCAAGTTAGTGGAATTGTCTATGAATTGATTAAATGCGTAATTTTTATTAGTGTTAGCCTATATGCTAAAATACTAAAATACTATATTATAATTAATAATATAATATATATAATATTACATATCGATATAATATACACACATTTTAACACAATAGAGTAAAAAAAAAGATTTTTGGACAAAGTGTGATGCATTAACTAGATTAATTAGACTGTCATTATTATTTCCTCTTTGGTATATATAACAATATATTATGTCAAAAAAAATTTTTTTTTTTTTTTACAGTAATAAAGTTTTGCCGAAAGTTCAATTTTTTTTTGCCGAAATATATACTAGTGGTGATATGTAAATTGGCACGTGAGTTATTTATTTTTTTGAACAATGCTCTTTTTTTCATAATTTTTCATGGGCTGATGCATTAACTAGTTAAATGCATAAAAATTTTTCAATCGTTGTCAACCAGAAAAAAAAAAAAGACAAAGAAACCAAATAAACCAAATTACACCATGAGGATAATAACTGCCATGTGTGTTCTTTTATTCTTATTACACTTTTTGGCATCGATGCAACTGAAAAGAAAAACCGTTAATTCTTGCGTGTGAAATTTTTAATATCGTAAAAAAAAAGTTTCATATGTTTGACCCATAGTTGTTTGGAACACAACAGTATTTCAGCCTTGCTTTTATTAACGTTTCTCGTTAACTTCTCTTTATGGCAGGTAAAATGCAATGGCAAGTATTGAATGTTACTTACTGCGATTGTTTAAAAGTACATGTGAACATTACACCCCAGTAATTACATCTCGCTCATCACCGATCTTTCCAATTATAGCAGTTCCCCCGTCATTCATTTTTTATCGAAAATCTTTTCACATGTAATTCGGGCAATTTCTCAATCAACCGAATAATTGACGCGCAATCTTGTACACGCGAGATATGTCGTTGCGTATAGTACACGAGTTGGTGACTACAACTTATGAATTCACGTGAGAAAATTCAGCCACAAAATCATTCGATTTGTGTAGACATATGCTTGTACCGATCTGCTCAACTTACAAAATATGTGCCGCATTTAGAATAAGTCGATTATATCATGTGATATAATTGAAAAAAATGGTGTTATTCTCCATGTTTAATTTTTTTTTAATTTAATTTGACTGAAAAAACCTGTAAAATCCTTTTCCGCTAGATCTTACGTGATAATCGTTTAATGAGATGCATACTGTTAATCATCGCGTGAGATATTATATTTGACAATGTTTACAGTGGAGATTTTACTATTATTATTAATTATGACGAAATGAATTTTAAAATTACATATTTCTTAGATTATACCACTTCTTTTTCTTCAACCTTCAATCTTATTCCAATTCCCCAATCTTCAATTTTTGATCTTTGACTATTCTTCTTGGTCTTATATATATTTCGATTGTGTGGTGTGATAATTTATAGAATGTGACTTGACATGTCATTTAACCTGGTAATTATCACTCCTAATTTATTTTATTATAATATAGTAAATATATGTAAGGATGTGACAATTATCAATTAATCAATTAAATATGTATTCATATGTATTAATATGTGTTAATATGTAATCAAAACCCATTGTGTAAAAAGCAAGTATTTTCAGGTTCTATGAACAATATCCTTCAGAAAATTGATCCTTTTTTTTGTTATCGATCATATAAAATTTGGCGTCAAAGCTTGCTGTATATCATGTTTGATTGTCGTAAAAGGCGCAATAGGCAGTAACATTCTCCCATGACATTGTAAATATGATCATTATATAATAATGCCGCCTAAAATGTGCACAGGCCACTGTTAACGCGTCATGCTCATGCTTTTCGATCACAATTACTTATGATTGTACTGCCCAATATAAAAATTTGCGATTCGGACTATACCAGGGACCTGCATCTGATTTCCTATCTCAATATTATTATTTTCAATGACGAACTGAATTGTCTCTCACTGTGCATGTGAACTATATAATTCTTTGGTTTCAGGCGACTCATTTTAGTACCGATTGTTAAGTGAAGTGCCTCGGTTAATTAATATATATACGTACGTACCTCGTTTATTCTAATATATTATTTGGTAATAATTGAATGGGTCCCAATGCGTCCAATTCGGGCACTTGTTTTTAATAAAAAAATTTAAAAAAAAATTATTATATACATATTGTATCATTATCCTTTAATAAAAAGTATTTTCAATTGTGCGTTTGAGTTTTAGACGGTTATTATATTTGTGATACAGTAATTGGCTCATCACAAAATCTCAAAATAGCGGACATGGGCATTATGGTCCGAATTAAGTTTAATAACTCAAAATAACTTTCATGCCTGCTATTTCGTAAATAGTTTATATAGTGAACCTAGGTTATTGCGTACAGTATTATGTTGTAATGTTGATATGATTGTTCAATAAAAAAAACAAAAACATACGTAGTTCTCTCGTAATCTAGGTAACACCACCTATACGTAATTAATCAATTGATTAATAGTATATCTATCTTTTATTAAATAGAAAAAAATAATAATTAAAAATAAATAATTTTAACTAAAATAAGTTTAAATACAATTTACTGTATTTGTAATTATAAATTAATATAAAATAGTTAAAAAATAGAACATTATTTTTCGATACATCTCGCATTCCGGTGTATCTTCAATATTCCGATATTTTACTTTAATAATCTCCGTTATATAATATGTATAATAACAAATATATATTCTTTTTTACAATTTTACTTTAATTTTAATTTCAACTCTAATTCTAATTTTAAGTTATAGTTATTTTGTTATATATAGAGTATATCAAGTATAACTTTGTATTTAATCAATTTATTTTAAAATATATTTAAATAAAAATAAAAATATAAAAATTGGTTTAATAAAAAATATCTATTTTTAAACTATATAAATATAGTCTGTAGTTACAATTTATATAATTAAAATTCAATATAACATATATATATATTTATTAATTAATTTTTTTATATTAATTTGATTTTTATATAAGTAAATTAATTATTTATACAAAATTATTTATATATAATTATATATATCATATTATAAATATTTTATAAAAATTTAAAATAAATTACTTAATTAGTTTTTTAATAAATAAAAATTTTTAGTTTTTTTGATTAATTAATTATAGTAATTATATATTATTGATAATTTGTAAATTATCTAAAAAAATTATCTGTAATTATTAAGTAAATGTGATAATAATTTTTTTAAAAATTATGCTTATAAAGAAATTGTACTTATATAGAAATTTTTTATATATTTTTATGATAATTTGTTTAATAAAATTAGGTACTTATATAGAGATGTAATTATATAAAGTATAATTTTATAAAGTATGATTATAGAAAGATCTAATTATATATTAATTTAAAAATAATAATAATATTAGATTAATATAAAATATAAATATTATAATAATTATAGTTATACATATTAACCAAATCTGAACAAATTCAAATTTTTAAAAAATAATTGTTAATTATAAAAAATTAAATTAAATAAATAATTTTAAATTTTACAAATATATTCTTTATAGTTATAAAAATATATTTAATTTATTTAAACAATAATTATTAATAAAATTTTTAAACTATATATGAATTTGATTAGACCTTTTGTATTTGTTTACTTTAATAAACTTAAAATAGACAAATTCAAAAAGTTAAATTAAATTCATAACTTAAAAATTTTATTAATAATTATTGTTCAAATAAATTAAATATTTTTTTTTTAGTATTAAAGTAAGACCTTGCTTATATCTTTATTAATAATTTAAAATAGTTATATATATATATGCTATAGCTAAGATCAAAACTTGCAGTCAGAGTTAATCATTAAATTGCTAACTATATAGCTACTACTATTTGTACAAAACAAATAAATTAAAAATTACATGCAAGAATAAAAATTTAGACTAGTTTATTTGTGATCTAAACCTACTAAAGTAGTTAAAGCTTATCTAGATTTGAATATTTAGTATATAATTTAATAACATGTTATATTTGATTTATAAAATAGACCAAATATTAATTTTGTAAATTGCTTAGTTGATAAAAGAGTATA